TAATAAAATGTACAAACAAGTTTTTGTGTGTGTGTGTGTGTGTGTGTGTGTGTGTGTGTGTGTGGTACACCAATGGGGCTCTTTATTATCCCCCATCATAGCGGATATTATTCTGCAAGACTTAGAGTGTTTAGCCATAGAACGTTTACCATGCACTCCGTCTTTTTATTACAGATATGTTGACGACATCCTTATTGCAGTCCCTAACGACCTTATAAATGAAACTTTTTCCATCTTCAATTCTATACATCCAAGATTACAATTCACACTGGAAGTTAGTAATAAAAATCAGATTAATTTTCTCAACGTTTTAATTATTAATGACAACTCGAACATTATTTTTGACATTTTTCACAAATCTACATACTCAGGAAAATATTTAAATTTCCATTCACACCACCATTTAACACATTTTCATGTTTTAACTTATTTTTATAATTTCTTTCATTTTGTTTTGTTTTTCTAATTTTGCAAATTAGACGGTCTGTGGCTTTACACGTATATGATTTTACTTTGTACTACACGTTTTATCAGAGGTATTTATACACAGAATTTTTCAATAATTTGTTTGAACCGTGAGAATATCCCTAATTGGATTGTTGTTTTTTCACTTTAACAGGATGCGTTTCCTTAGTCAAAATTTTACCAACGCTTCTCTAATTATGTTCTAAGTCTTATAATTGTATTACACTGAAGATGGCCACGTACCTTGGCCGAAACGTCTGTATATAATAAAAAAGAATTTTTGAGCAAATCGATCCAGCTCTTGCTCTGTTTGGCTTTATTTTAAAACGATTTTTAATTTAATTAAGGAAGAGCAATAACTTGATATTATTTGTTATTTTTATTTTACACAGGGGATTCGCCCCCCCCCCCGGAGGGGAGGCGGAATACCCTGTGTCTACGCAAAGCAAGGTTCATAATTATACTATTTAACGTGGGTATGGTTAATGTGTATAGTTTTTATGATGGTGGAGCCCCCCGCAGGGGGGCGGAACACACTGCTTTCACACATATTCTTTCCACGCAAAACGAGGTTCAACATGGGTTTACAACTTTGTTTGTTAACTTTGGTTAACCTTGTTAGGTTTACCTTGTTAGGTATAACCTGAGTAGGATTTGTTATTTGTTTTACGCGGGGAGAGACTTCGCCCTGTAGGGGCGAAGTCCTCCGCCGCCTACGCGTGAAAACATTAAACATTACAATTAGTATTTTCTGTAATAAATATTTTATTTTAATATATTAAAATATAAATATATAAAAATATAAAAAATATAAAAATATTGCACAAAATATTCAAAAGAAAAATTAGTAGATTTCATAATTGAACACGGTGTTTTAGCGTCTACAATTTCGTGTAATACGTATGGTAATAATGCAAATATTAATAAAAAAACACATTAATACATATTAATATTTGATGTAAAGAAATTGATACGTGTCTTCAAGCAGTGCTTGGGCCTGGTTCATCGCAGGATGATTCTGGTTGGTCTGGCTGATATGTGGACATCGGAGGATACATATCCGCGATAATTTAAAAAAAAACTTCTATTCGTTCCAGCCGGCTATAGACGCGTTTGAACAGAAATTCGGACAAATATCCAATAAAATGTTCGGATTTTGTTCCAAACTTTGGTATATTTCCCCGAACTTCTCTCCAAACGCGTTCTATATGTTGAGTATGTGCGCCTATAAATTTAAAAACATTATAATAGTTATAAACATTATAATACAGTTAAAAATACATTAATTTTAAATACTTCTTACCGGTTTCAGGATCGACAAAGTTGTAAGAATGGTTGACTGTCAGATGTTGGAAGCCCTTATTGCTTAAACAATTGTAAGACTTCCAACAATCTGACACAACCGTTGTTCCTGGCATGATCCACTGTTTGATGCATGCCAGGAGCGTTTTTTCTGTCCGATCCTCCACTGGAACGATGAAAATTTTTTTCGTATCTCGCTCGTATCCTCCGAAAATCCACTGACCTTTGATCAGTCGACCACGATTGTATTTTTGTCGTCCAAATTTTGCCTCGTCTATTTCAACTGTGCGTCCTGGGCCACCAAGCTTTTCGCTGTGTTTCTCAGCCCAGAACACACAGACCTGTAATTAGAAATAAGATTATTTTATTTTACAATACTTAAAATATTTACAGATGTTTAAATATTAAAAAACATTACTTACCTCACGGCAAAAATTGAACCAATCAACAATCGTGGTCTGTGATACACTAGTTTCATCCTGCGTATCGTCTTGACGTGGGTATCGCAGCATTAAAAAGCATGCAACAATTTTGCAAACGGTACCCACGTCAAGATTTGTTCTATCGAACCATGTACCAGACTTGGCACTTTTGTAAAAATCGCACTGCTTGGAGACACGTTTTTTGTGTACATTCTGTACAATGTACCGTTTTTTGCATCTATATATCAATGTTTCTTTATTAATATTTATATCATTACCACACGTATCACACGAAATTGTAGACGCTAAAACACCGTGTTCAATTAAGAAATCTACTAATTTCTCTTTTCAATATGTCAGGTGACCAAATTCTAACAAACTTATCATTGCTCGTGCACTGTTAACGCTTTATGTATAATACGCAATAACTAATACACATTTCTTTGTTCAAATTTGCGCAGAACAACACTAAGTTATTACTACGCATGCGCGCGTGACCGCAGCGTATGTCCGCGTGACCGCAGCGCATGCCCATGTCGCTACGCTCAGTCGGAATGACAGGTTTCGTAACCTGAAAAGTCGTCAACTTTGACGCTAAATATCTTGTCTCGCGGAGGAGAGCGACAATTTTGTTAGAGGAAAAAGTTTTTAAAAAAAAAAAACGCGTTGAAAGAGCCAAATTGGATCAAAATCGGAGGTGAGGCAGCTATTCTGGATAATTACCGAATAATTAATTGACTTATTTATTTATTTTGTATTAATTACATAATAATAAAAGGGTGTAGTTCCGAAAAGCCCACACCTCCGATTTGCCCCAAATTACGCTTTTTATTGTATTTTTGCGCGCTGATTACAAATATGACCATGCTGATTGGCGACCAGGTCATTTTCAAAGTTAAAACTTAAAAAACTCAACGTAACAAAAAAATATTTTAAATAAAAGTTGTAGCTCTTGAAAAAATACATCATTTATGTTTTATGAATTTTTTGTACAGAACCAATATTTTTCGAAAAAAATGAGATAATG